ATCAACATTAATATTAAAATATTAATATTTTGTTTCGACACATAGCATACTAAACTTGTTTAAGTTAAAAGAAAGAAGACCAAATTACAACGAAAATAGCATAACTAATAATTTCATTGCTAATTTCACACAGGTTGCTAACATTAGTTAATCATTTTGCATAAACAATTCCGCCGGTAAACGTCAAGCTAGATTTAAATTCAGTCGAAATTTCTAGATCACGAAGGCTGCGTTTGGATTCGAGAAGCGTGTCATCAGCGCTATTGCATTATTTCGTTCGAGTTTTACGTCTATTAACGATAAAAATAAAATGACAAAATAACAATTCATGGCACGCTCCCGAACTAGCTCGAATGCAGCTGAAAAATTATCAATTATCACGTGCTTATCTCGTAGTACATACATACGTGTATATGCTTCGTCTTCGTACAGTCGTGGACACATCGGTTGCGACACTTTTTATAGGTTTATATTATGTATATATTAGGTTTATATTATGTATATATTTAATATAAATAATATATACTTTATAGATAACTAATATGTTGCAAATGCGAACCACGATGTTACTATCTTTAGTCTAGAGACAGTATAACACCAATCGTGGTCCGCATTTGCAAAATATATATTAGTGCGTTTTGAAATCTATAAAAAAGAATATGTGTTGCAACCGATGTGTCCACGATTGTACATACTTAAGACAATTGTAAATATATAAGATATTGAACTACAATAACTATCGCCCTTTAGAATGATCTCGTTACGCGTTAACGTCATCTCAACAATATTGCAGAGTAAGAAAGAATAAATAAAAAAAAATCAAGATTGACGTGGATGCGATATATATTATTAAAGGCCGCGATTAACCATATAATATATAATGGCATAGATAATTTTATTTTACTTTACCAAACTTATATTTATTATTATCGACTATGGAAAATTCACATATTTGCAATGAAAGTTGAGAAAATAGAAAAAATAATAGTGCATTTTAAAATCGATTCAGAAAATAATCGATAAATTATAATATTATAAATTAATAATAATAAATTACATATTAAATACTGATAAATGGGAATAAATTAATATAATAATATAAAAAAATAGTACACAAACAAATTAGCTGTAAAATAAACTAAATTTTTTATTTGTAAATATTAATTGTTGCAATAAATTATTGATAAATTTTTAAGAATTCCTTTTATACTTACATTAATTTTTATTTTTTATACTATTTTTTTATACTTCAGTAAATTAATTATGTTATACACAATTAAATAATATATGTATATAAATTGTTATCAAGAGAATACATATTCCGACAAGAGATAACACAGTTGTGTCAGTTCGTGGGAGAGGGTTGCCACACTACACTCGCAAGAGTACGACAAAATGTCACTAGCTACAGTCAGATGACTCTGACCAATGAATTCGTTTCTGAAGTTTGCGCCGTCCACGTGTGTGATGGTTATGTTTGTTACGGTCATATCAAGAGCAATCAATTATATATGAAATTAGATTCAATTATATAGGGATATCCAGCTATGGCTACGCATCGTATACATAACATAAGATTTTATAATTTGGAGCCGAAGTCGGTGACTTGCCTGTGTCATGAATCAAAAACGAAAAAATTAGCCCTCGCAAGGTTAGCTGGCATACACTTGTGATTATGTATTTAACATCAGTAAATTCATAAACTTTACACACGCGTGAATTGTGACTGTGACCATCTTTCTAATTCTTCTTTCCTTTCCAAAGGGACAACAACTCTATAGAAATCTGGAATGTGGAGAACGCACCGTTTGTCGAGTGTACCATAGCCGGTCACGCCGAGAACTCGGTGGAGAGCATACTCTGGATCGATTCCAGACTGTTTTCGACGGGTCTTCAGGGTGCGGTGATCGAGTACGACCTGAGGACGTTGAGCGTCAAGCATGAAGTCATGGTGATAGGAGGAGCGGCCTGGTGCATGGACGTGAATCAAGAGAAGACTCGCCTGGCCGTTGGCACGGAGGACGGATATATCAACACTTTCACCGTGCACAAGGATAAACTGGTTTTTGAGAGAATATTTGATAAACAGGAGGGGAGAATTATGTGTATCAAATGGGATAACACGGGCGAGATGATTTATACAGGTTCCACGGACACCATCAGGGTGTGGAGTGCCATATCCGGACACGCAATACACAAAATGACAACTTCTAAAAATAATATCAAGGAGGAGACAATAGTTTGGTGCCTCGCGGTCACCGACGATAATATAATAATATCCGGCGACTCTCACGGCTTCCTATGCTTCTGGGATCCTCAGATGGGAGTCCTACTAGAGTCGCACGAAAGTCATACAGCCGATATATTAGCTGTTACCCTGTCGCACGACATGAATGTGGTGTACTGCGCGGGTGTGGACCCGGTCGTGCGAAGCTTTTGCAAAGTTACCCTGAAATCAAGTGGGAAACATCAGTGGGTGAAGGGAATCGAGAGGAGATTACACGTTCACGATGTCCGAGCGCTTGTAGAAGCGAATGGAAAGCTCTACTCGGCCGGGGTGGATGGGTACCTCGCCGCGTCGAGTTACCCACCAAAAAATCTTGTGAAATATCCTCCGCTACTGCAACCACCCTGCGCCACAATTTGCCGAAAATCTAGATGTATCTTGTTGCGATACGCAAACTATCTGGAATTATGGAGACTTGGTTCTGTCAGTAAAGATTCCCCGGAATTAGTACGCTCCTCCATGGTGCACGAATTGGACGAGGAGCCTATGAAACTGTTGCAGTTACAAACAAAAGGTGACGAGAGCATCATCTCTTGCGCCGTTAGTAAGAACTCCAAAACAATCGTGTACTCGACGGACACTCACGTCAGAGTCTTTAACTTCGACGTGGTGGAGGGAGATGCGCAGCTGTCTAAAAACGATACCGATTTGTCTGTGAAGCGAATACAAAAGATGCTCTTCAGTCCAAACGGCAAGTTATTCGCCGCAATTAACAATGACGGCAACGAGAGTACCGTGATGCTGTTCAAAGTGAGTAAGAAGAGCTTAAGTCTGATCGGCTCGTTCCAGACAACGAGGGAGTCCATTAACGATGTCGGTCTCGTGTGCTTCTCTCCGGACAACAAGTATTTCGTATGCACGGACCGGCAACGCGGAGTCGCCGTGTACTTCATCGGTGACGGTGTCGCGGCAGAATCGCTCAAGGGATGGAAGTTACCCAAGTACAGTTGTCCAGCGACGGCAATAGCCGTGCAGAAAAATACACTCAATCTGGTCCTAGTGTATTCCGATCATAAGGTAAATATAGCGCGCTATACACACGATTTAAAATGAGTAATACGCGCATCGTGCATTATACGGCGACATTAAAAATAATAACCGACTCGAATACGCGCCATCGTAAAATACTATACAACGTTAATGACCTGCAGCAGTAAAAATTCGCAATTTACTGTTAACTGCTACTGTGGTTTTATTTTTACGCGATGACGTTACACGTAATTGCTTCTATAATCCCGTTATTGAATTATCCGTTCGTACACGGACTTTATGAAGTCCGTACTCTTACAGTTTATTACCTTTTGATATGAGCAACATTAAATTTTAAGACGTACAATGAGATACATTAAAAAAATCGTACGGTCTAAATTGAGACTGGAAACAGCAATCCTAAAATAAAATGTCTTAAAACTTACCATAAATTGATTGTTTTTCTCAATGTTTCAAGATTTTATTGGTTTATTATTATTATTAAGATGTTCTTGTTATTATTGTTGTAAATAATTATGCAAATAATAATTCATTTTCAGATCATTGAATACAATATTCCTACGAAGAGATACACAGAGTTTTCTAATAATTTGCAAAATCGATTATCAAAGCAGTGGTTAGCGCGTCCATTCCCGATAACGAACATCATATTCGATCCGCGCAACGAAAACATCATAATCATGCAGGACGACACAAGTGTGTATATTATTAATAAAAACAGCGAATTATCAGAAAAAGAAACAAAGATTTTTAAGCGTGAGAATGGAGAAAGCGCTGCAGAAGATAGCAATTCGATTTCCAGCTCACAATCTCAACATACGTTTCAAGTTGCCAAGAAATATAAGGTAATAATACCAATGTTAAAAAATATTTGTTTTAAATGATTAATAATGAGATAGAGAAGGAAAGAATTTTAATTTTAATATTTGCAGCACCTTGTCTACTTAAATTGGTTGAACGACGAAGAGCTGGTCGCGGTCGAGGTGAATCCTACTTCTCTGTTGGACAAATTACCACCCACGCTAAAACAAAAGTTCTTCGGCATGTAAATATTGTTTATAGGAGATACTATTAATAATAATGGTAAAAAATAAAATTTTTACCCTATTTTTTTTAAATTAAATTTTGTAACTAGATTTCATTATTTCGAACACGCTATTTCAATATTTTAATATTTTTTAAGTGTAATTCAATGATTTCGATTAGTTTCTGGTAACAAATTTACTATTTCTTCCATCACTTAATAATAACTAAAATAATTTGAATTTACAGAACAATATTGCGAAAAAGGGCCTATTTTTAAATATTTGATTTAATTCGAATTTAGTTTTTATACGAAACAATTACTCACAGTTTTGACCTTTCGATACTTCGGTCGAATCGTGACGTTGCTCTTTGATAATTCTCGAGCTTTATTCAGTCAGAAAATGCACTACGGCGGCCACGGAGTCGCGTTCGAATCCGTTCCGCGCTTCCCGCGATCTTTATCGCCTGCAAACAAATTTCATGGGTAAATAATTATCACGAGTGTCTCTTGTAAATTGTAATTGTCTCTTGTAACAACGCATCGAGTATTGTCTGAGTTGCGATTTTCGTGGTTTCGACATTGGCGACCCGCTTCAATATGAGCTTCGGACACTCGGCACATTTCACATTTCGAAAATAACAATGAGCGCATAATTAGTGCCAGGTACATGCACGTTTATCGTTCTACAGTAGTTCTTAAGCTTCCCTAATTTATAATTATTGTAGGGTAACTGTCCCTATTAGTGTGCCCTGTACCTATTAGTGTTCTTTTATATTTAAATAAGTCATAAAAATAAACTGGTACAAATATATAGACAAAGTTTTTTTTTATTAAGTTAAAGTATTAACTTTATAAAAAAAAAATACTTTGTATAATAAAGTTAAAGTATTAACTTTATAAAAAAAAAATACTTTGTCTATTTGTACCGGTTAATTTTTATGACTTAAAAATAAACTGTTACAAATATATAGACAAAGTATTTTTTTTATTAAGTTAAAGTATTAACTTTATAAAAAAAAATACTTTGTCTATTTATTTGTACCAATTAATTTTGATGACTTATTTAAATATAAAAGCATACTAATAGGGACAGTTACCCTAATTGATTTCTTTATCCATGTGTCAAGGCCGTTTTATCGCTGCGCTTCGGTCACTCGTTACTTCGAGATTCGCGAGGTGGCTCTCTTCGATAGTCCTCGAGTCGCGGTCAGTTAAGAAACGCGTCGCGTCGCGGCGATCGTCAAAACGCATTCGATTCGGCTCCGCAATTTCCGCGATCTTTTTCTCGCGAAAAGGCGAATTCGGTGTGCAAAAAGTAGTCGTCCGCGAGTGCTTCTCGAAAAAGTCGGCCCTCTGTCGTATCGAGCGTTGCGCGAGGTTGCTGTTGACGATATGATGTCGACGCTGACGGTCCGCTCCGTGAGTTCGTCGCAGGCGCATGTTCGCGGATTTCATGGAAATACGTCAAAACAGCAACGGACGCAGTGACTGTCGCCAAGTACGTGCACACTTTCGTTCTACAATTAACCACGCCGTTCGCATATTTTTCGCGATAATTCGATCATCTCGGCCATTTCGGGCGTTCGCTGAAATATTTTTGAATCGTATTTCTCCGCGAAGTTAACCACGGCCATTTTGTCGGCGCTGCGCTTCGACCGTTCGTTACATCGAGAATCGTGAGATGGCACGTCGATAGTTCTCGAACCGCCGCGGTCAGTCACGAAACGCGCGATCGCCGCGGCGATCGCTGAATCGCACATTCGAATTCCGCTTCGCACACGATTTCCCACGACGATGTTTGTCGCCCGAAAGTGAACCCCTCGCGCGCGAACAATTGCCGCGAGTGCCTCGATCGTAAAATCGAATCTCTGTCGTTAACGCGTCGAACGTGCATCGAGGAGCGCTGCTGTTTAACGACGTGATTTCGACGCGTCGTTCCGCTCTGCATGGAGTCCGTCGGGCATGCCCTCTCTTCGCGCATTTTCACCGCATCGGGCGCATAATTACTGCCAGGTGCGTGCGTATTTTCGTTCTGTAGTTAACTGTGCCAATTACATTTCTCATAATAACCCGCTATTTTCCCGGCCACTTTTGTAATGTTTGCTAAAATATTTTGAATTTCACTTCTCCGCGAAGTATAGCTGTGGCCATTTTGTCGATGCTTCGACCTTTCGATACTTTCGAGAATCGCAGGTATCGCTCGAATGCCGGTCATAAAATGCGGTACGCGACGATCGCAGAATTGCGCTCAGATCGCTCCGTATAATATATTTCCGCAATTGTTGTTGCCCAAAAATGAATTTCGTACTCGAACAATTATTGCAAATGCTTGCCATAAAATATCGGGTTTGAAGTTCGTCGCAAACTTATTAAATATTGCACTTAATTATTATTAAATATTATTATTATGGCAATCTACCTATCGGTATTATTACGGCTAAATGCCGATTGAAATTTTTACACTTTACATTATACGTTACAGCTTTTTTGCAAAATGCGAATCGTATATTCATAACCAATACATCGTCGTACATGCGTCTATAAATTAGCTGCATTTGATACTTCTCATATCTTATTTTGACAGTTTCTAGAATTCGCTAAAATGCCTTCGAATTGTATTTGTTTTTTTTTTAAATAACTGCTACAATGAAAAAGTTTGTTGTTGACGGTTTTAATATTTTGAAATTTGCAATAACATCTTTATATTTCGAAAATTTTTATTTATACATCTGATGTGATCGACAGTTTTTATTCATTACTCATACATAAATCTGAATAGCCTAATATAGATTTAGTCTACATTGCAGTTACATTAATTTTAATATTTATAATTTCATTTTATAGTACGTAGCAAACATTTGAATTTTATATTATGTCGGTAAAATATTTTTATAAATCAAAAACGATGTCAATAATGTTAGCATTTTACAATTTTATCCTTGATCACCTGATGACTACAAAAATTCACATGATCGACAGATTTTACGTACAATGAATTAAAGTTAACAATATAATTTTCTGTCTTAAATTATTTTACGATCCAAGAACAGCTTCGTACAAGCTGTTTTTATTAATAATATTTGATATAAAAGAAGTAACACATTATTTTTCTAGTCTCTCTCACTTGCTTAGTAAAAAAAATATTATACATAATATCATGTGTTTTGATACGCCATGATTCTGGATGATCACGACTTCTTTCTCAACCTAGAAATATAAATTTTTGTTTCGTCGCGCGTAATTCCGGGGTTTCCGCGGGAGGGTCGATCGTCCACCTTGGCGAGATGTAGAGACGACCCGTAAATTCCAGGCTGTATTCCGCGCGAGATGAACGATGGCCGATCTGGGCGGATGTCGTCCTAGGGAAGGCCGGTGAGGCTTTCAAAGGAATCGGCGAACGTTCGGCCACGTCTTCCGGCGGGTCACGCTCGAAAGTGTTCGCCGGAAGTCCCGCTTTTCTGCATTCCTCCGCCAGCACCTACGGTCAGTGACACGACGGGCACATTGAAATTCGTCTGCGGCTTCGTGTGCTCCCTCTTTTTTTTCCCTGCCGTGCGCGACTTGCCAACCGACGGGAGTTTTTAAGATACCTGGCTGAAAAATTGCCCGGTCAGGTGCTCGTACTTCTGCGGCCACGACCATCGCGACAGGCTTTCGAGGGAGTTCGTTTCCTTGCTGAATTATTAACGAAATAATCATTTTATTATATATATCACTTCATATATAAGAACGAGAGATTTACGCCATTGTTACGAATACTAACTTAATTGTACATTCTATAGTAGATGTATTACCGAATATTATCGGCGGTCACTTCGTTTTTGAAGACGTCACCACGTTTCGTGAAGATCACCCTCTCGGCCACTTTCTTGCTTTCTTTATTTTGCTTTTCCTCGGACATTCCTCGCGGACGAATATTTTCTCGCACGGCGAACGAAATCTTCAATATTAAATCCAACCAAAGCGTATGCGCGGTTTGTTCGATACCTCGGATTGTTACTATAGTTATCCCGCGCGCGGTAATATTGAAATTCTCGGACTGCATGCATTTTCTGAAATGAACATAATATTTTTCCATCACTTTAGTTTAGTAATTACATCATGAATGAATGAAATCTTTGCAACGTAAAACGTCAAAAGTGTCCTTTTATGGGCAATTGCAAATTTTCGAGTTATATCTCGAATATTGGGTGCAATTTTTTATAGGCCTCGTGGCGTCATAAATTTTCCAATTTTGCCGCGTCCAATATATATCGGACAATGCCGGAAGAATATCGAAATCGAAATGATGAAATAGAATGGGAATTCCACTTCGGCGGGAGGTCTCGTAAATCCGTTATCCGGTATAACATTTGTCGCGATCACGGTAATTCCACGGTTACAAAGCCAGACGCGGGGATGAGCACCAGAGAATCTTTTTCGATTGTCGAAGTGGCCGGGAAATAATCAAGCGAATGACGATAGCGTTCTATCTGGGGGCTAGATACGTCTGCAACCAGAGAGACGAGGTCGTCCCAAGTCGATGTCGAGTGTATGAGAACGTACGACCGAAGGATATACAACGAAACGTACATCAAGGTAGAGAGAAAGACGGATAGAGAAGGAGAGAGAGAGAGATATGCGTTTATTAACAGAGGAGATAGAGAAAGAGAGGAAGAAAGACGCAGAACAAAAGAGAGAGAGAGAGAGAGAATAGAGACGCTGCAGAGTGCAATGTACCCAGATTACGACTAATCTGCGCCCGAGACCGCTATTCGTATAGTGCCTGTAACTTACATCGCTTAAAACATCAGCCCGTTCAACCCCTGACTTCGGCGCCATAGTCTGCGCCTTCATCGTCGTCGCCATTCTCTCCCACTCGCCCCCTTTCGAGCCTTCGATGTCGATCTAGCCGTCTAGCTATCCGTCTTCCTTCGTCGCCGTAGCCTGCATCTCCGTCCGATTTATACCCCTAGGGAAAATCGCGCCATCCTCTATTCCTTCCTCCTCATTCCGAAATTCGAAAGTTCGTCGCCGTATCCATTTGCTGTCCGCTAGCGCAGCCATCTAAGTAGTTTGCTGCCGGAAACGCAAAACGATGAGTATTTTATATGAAATTACGATCAACTCAAACAACATGTGCGAGAAATTATTCTAAAGATATTTAAACGAATTTTAATTAAATAATTTTAAGTTTTCAGATATCTTTA